GGTATAATCAATGAATAATCTTTATTCCGAAGCTATTGAGTTAATTTGTGTTGCAGTCTGAGTGCGGACAATTCGGAATGGATCTTTTTATGCAACAGGCTGCAAAGCAGCAACTAGTTAAGCTTCAAGCTTCGAATCCAAAGTCGTCCGAGTTGAAGTTTGTTGCAGCGCACTCGATAATTAATGTCAGAGTGTTTACCAATCAGATGTGTGGTAAATGACCTCTGCAGGTGCTCTACTGCAATTCCGTCGATATTTCTCATAGTGCCGTATATTCATCATGATCATAATCAATACACGATACCGACAGTCAGAAACACACCTCAGATGTGCCGGAGTAAAAAAGAATAAGAGATTAAACATTACGGACTACAAAAGTTAACAAGGTAAGCTAAGGTCAAAATCCCAATACGGATTGATTTGAGATCGTTATTGGAGGGGGAAGCTAGAGAGGGAAGGGACAAAGAAACGCACAACACAAACGTCATGTAGCCCGGTTCTTCGCCATGTCGGCTAGTGTATCCAACCAAACTTGTTCATCGTCTTTCGACACGAAACCCGGCAGATGGTAAGCACCATCGACGCCAAGTTCAAAGTAACGGACTTCATTCCGCTTGACCAAGTCATCGCTTGACGTCTCCTCCTCTTCTTCCATCCAGACCTCGGGCGCGCAAACAATGCACGATGCGGGAGTCGGTGCACTGGCATGCGCAACACGTGACCCTGCCATGAGATCCTGGCGCGTGATATCACGGTGCTAAGTGATTCACTAGCTCTTCCGGCACCAGATACAGGGCCCCGAATATGCTCATTGTTCACGCGGTGTTCCCACAGACATGAGTTATGTATGCTGAGAAGGCAGCGAAAGTTGAACGTTACAAGCCTCATTAAGTCTGTCGACTTGATGAGCCAGGTTTCGAAACTGTACAGGAGGATTAAACACACGGCCTCATTGTAGACTCTGGCGTTCAGGGTGACAGTGATGTCACGCCGACGCCACAGGTGGTGGAGAATGACAAAAGCGCCTCGAGCTTTTGACATACGGCTCGTGATCTCATCTTACATCTCACGGACGCTAATATAGCAATTCAGATACTTGAATTTTTGGACGACTCCTAGCTAGTCATCAAGGTTTAACGGTGTGGATCCCGGCCAGTCTTGAAGAACTTGCATTTCGAGGGTGCAAAGCATAGCCCGAAACGAATGACAACCAGAGCAAACGTATTCAGTGTAAATTGGCACGTCCTGAAGCTAGCATAGATGAGTGTAATCTCATCGGCATACTCTAAGTCAAGATGTCGGTTACCTGAGAGTAGCTCTCCACCATCTAAATCACGCCCGACAACGCCGTTTCCATAACCTCGTCAATGCCGCAGTTAAAAAGGAAAGTTGACAGCGGACAAACTGGTTTCACATCCCTGAAGATATTGAAGGACGGTGAAAGTTTGCCGTAAACCCTTAATCTGTCCGAACTATGCGCGTACAGCGCCCTTATGACATGCACATAATTCTCGGGCACACCTTTCCTCAGTGGACAGTCGAAAAGGGCACATCGATCAAGCGAATCGAAGGCCCCTTGGACTTCCAGGAAAAGGATTACGGTGGCGCGTTAATAAACGGGGCGGTGCTCCAACAATCAAAGTAATGTGAAGAGGTGGTCAATTCAGCCTCGATTTCGACGAAATCCGGCCTGCTCCTCGCGCATATGACTTTCACGGGTGCCAGTTAATCTATGGAGGACGAAAGAGGCAAGTGAGGTCAGACTGATTCGTCTATGACAACCGCATTCTGAACGGGAGCCTCCAATGAAAACTGAGACTACAACGGAGTGGCTTAAGTCTGTTGAGACAGACTCCCGATCCCACAGATTCACTAGCAAGGTATGTAAATCGTCCAATAGAGTAAGTCCCCCAATTTGAAGAGAGCTGGATGAAATCCATCTGCTCCAGCAGTTTTGATCAAGTTAAGTCTCTGATCTCACGTTCGATTTCTGTGGTGAGCGGGGATCTAAAGTGATGGCCCAGAGAGTAGAGCCCAGTTCCACCCAGAAATATTTGCGAGCCTCATTGCATTCGCTTCCAGCCGGAACACGTCGGCGAGCCTCCAGAAATCCTAGAGACAGCGTGGAGACCCAATGTCTAGGTTGGCAAGTTGATTTGCCACATGAAGATATACCTGCTGCTAATAACGTCTGGCGGATAGGAGACCAGTGATCTTAGTATGTGTCCAAAAATCGTTTACTCAGCTCGGATGCCAGCTTACTTTGATAAGAACACCTGGCTTTGCCCGTTGGCAAGTGTCTATGCGCTCACCACGCCGTTGCGGACATCCATCGAAACGCACCCGCAAGTCGGCATAAACAGGTGCGTCGTCAGGGTCCGCGCTCGTGCTCCAAATCGTGTGACAGTTTTGAACTCATCCCGTCCAACGGTAAGTCATCGCGATGTGATACATTTGCTTCTACGGCTGGTGGACGCCATGCCAACCACCGACGGGTGCTGTGTCGAGAGTTATTGCTCTCGAGAAAGGGAAAAGCATCTTCACACAGGTGTAGTAACTACTCACCGTTACCATTACGAGAGCCTACACCGTCTTGGCCACACAGATGAAGCTCATCAGTGGATAGTTCTTCAAGTTAGACGTTGAAATCACCAGTCAGTACCACAGTTAAAATAGATTATCTGTAACGAAGGAACGCGCCCAATTGGTGATATAATTCACCTTTCGCCAAGTCAGCGCTACAGTTTGTGGGCGCGTATACCGCAGTGATAAAAAAGTACCGCTTGCATACATGCGAAATTTATGCTTTCAATGAGCCAGCCAGTTTGACAGCGCACATCCGACTGTTCACTGGGAGCAAATCGATCAGAGCAGCTTCACTCCGGGAGTTATGCGCAGTGTCCACAAGGCTTGGCCGGCACTTGAAGCTCCGTCATTTCTGGACAAGCGCAATGAGAGAATACCGCTAGCGTCGCACTTGGGTATTGTAACATATTCACAGAGCTCAAAACAACACTAGTGTGAGGTAGAAAAGAGCGACAGTCACCTAGAGCCGTCGCGCAGATTATCAAGAGTCGTCTTATGTGCTGCATACAGCAGGGCGGATAAGCGAAAACATGCTACTGCTGGCGCCGCCCTTCTTTCTTTTCCACTCTTTTCTCTTACTCTCATCCCGACTCCATTAATAACCTTCCTTCTATTATTCCCAGCTTAATTGACAGCAATCATTTAGGTGCAGCCAGATCGACGACTTAAGCTAAGGTGGATTCACGGAGTAATACAAAATGCTATTCTTTTGTGATTTCCGTTTATGCTCCCACCGGCTGCAGTTCTAATGCTTTCAAGGACACATTCTATGCCGAACTGAACGCCCTGCTACGCAGTGTTACTAATTCAGATATTATAGTACTTGCAGGGGATATGAACGCACAAGTAGGACGTATGAGCTCTTCAGAAGCTCAGCTGGGGGTAATTATGGGCTTAACTCCGAAAGGACTGATAACGGTGAGCGTCTGCTGCAACTGTGTGTGGAGCACCAGTTGTTTCTTAGTAGCACTGCTTTTAGACAGTGGGCGCCGAAGTGCCACTTGGTGTCCTCCTGTAACTGGTCAGCGATGAATCCAAATTGACCACGTAGGCATAAGTTACTGATGGCGTGGTTCCATCCTGGAGTGCCGCTCGTATTGTAGTACCTGTGTCGACTCTGATCATGCCTTGGTACCGTCGTTTTTCCATGAACTTTACCGGGAGGTGCACCAAGCATCCCCTCCGATTGGCAACGGAGGAATTGTCTCAGTCCTCGGTCAGGCAAGCCTAACAAGACGCACTGCGTACCGAACTTTCGCTGTCTTGTCCTGATGACACTGAGCTTCAGTGGAATAAGATCTCGGCCGCCATGCACGACGCAGGAGCATCTGCTTGTGGCCCTATCCATCGTCACCGCACCAGTCACTGTATATCCGAGAGGTCTGAAGATCTGAGGCGCCTTCAAGTCTTTGATCACTGTTGTCTGCGAAGCCTCACTGGTGTCGGATGGCACCCGTGTGTCCGCAACGATGATGCGTGTAGGCGAGTACTAAATAGTGATAATCGTGCTAGCTCCCTAGAACAACAGATAATACTGAAGAAGTTGCGTCGGCTCGGGCACGTGCTACGTATGCCTGGTCACCGCTTACCTAGGAGGGCCTTGTTTAGTCTACCAGGTGTAGGGTGGCGCAAGGCTCGAGGTGGACAGAAGTTGTTTTGACAGCGGAAAATGAAGTCAATGACGACCAAGCTTGGTGCCGTTGGTCCGATTTATTTGTTCGCTGCTCTGAAGGCGTTTCAGTTGACCTAGGAAGGATGCCACTGTGAAGTCAACGACGAGCGTTCACGATTGAAGATCTGTGATGGAAATCCAATGGGGTTTTCCTGCGCCAACTGTAATATTCATAAAATTTGGCATAACGCAGGGCTCCAGCCAAAGCAAAATCGAATTGTAGGTCGAGAATTTTCGGTCAGTGCCAAAAAAAGTCACCTAAGAGATGTCAACTGGAACAATAATTACAATCACTGCAGGCCCCAGTGCTCAATATGAAATTATCTCTTTTGCACACAGGTCGAACGCAATAATCTCATTGTCCTATGAGCTAGACAAGTTGCAAACAGGCAACAAACCACACACTGAAAAATGAAAATAACTAGACACGTGAAATCTCCCGGTCATTGTCTTAAAGACATTTCCCCAGATCAGCTGGCTGGCCTGCGGCTTCAGCCAGGCCAATGGCAAGGACAAAGCATACACCAAGCAGTGGACAAGTACATGAGAGATGTGGATACGCGAGTTACTAACACACAGCCGTAAACCCGTGCCCTAAGGGCAGATGTTGGTGAAAAGAGCGGAGAATTATGAACACGATGATTTGAAGCTGTAAGTGAAGTCAACGAAACTTGAAAAGACCTAAGAATCTAATAACTGGAACTTGATTAGTGTAACCGAAAGGAATAGAAAGTGAAGCTTTTCATTCACTTACCCGATCTAGTAGCTCACCGACTAGGTTGCGTAGGACGGAAAACAGTTCCGAATTGGCAAAATCCTGTCAAGTTGATATGTGTGACAAAAGCAAATCGCTACGGGGTACCTTTTTGTAAGACCGGAGTAAATCATCCACTTGGGCATAAGCACCATAAAGATCTCTGTCTTTAGGGACTTCTTGTCTGAAGCATATAATAGCAGGTTGGGTCAAGTTCACAAGTAAACGTATTGTCAGTTCCGTCAAGGTCTTGTTGCCAACACATGAGCGCAACAGAGGAATAAGATCACTCGAGAGAATTCTAAGCCTTCCAAGTTCACGACGAACGTCGCAGTTGCTGCTCTCGTTTCTCAGATAACGTAACAGTGCACGGATTGATGCTGAGAAAGTAACCAAAAGGAATTATGGCTCGGATTACCTTCTGCATCCGTATCAACTTTGTATACATCGCCCTCTCGGAATCCAAGACACGAACAGCAAGCTTGGATATCTGCACAACGGAGAACGGGATCGGCAAGCATTCTCCAGGCAGAAAGTCAAAAGTTGACTAGAAAAACAGGCCGAAAAGTGAGGTTTCCAAATGGCTGGAAAGACAGATCCGTTAGTTTAATAAACCGATTGGCTACTGATCTGGGAAAATGTGCGAGGATTTTTACCTACAAGCAAGTCTACATGATTAAAGGCCACGTGATAGAAAAACCTTTATCAGGTTGTATACAACAGTGGGCAAACAAGCTATCCAAGAGGAAAGGCCACAATATGCATGAGTGAGGTGCATATGGCACATGTGAAAGATGAAGTACAAAATACGAGAGAGTTGGGTGCTGTACAAGCCCACATTACTGCCCCAAAATTAATCTTGACGATGACCAGACTGTTAATACCAGGTTGGGTAAATCCATCAGTGTATCAGTTAAGTCTACCAGAGGACAGGAAATCAGTCAACGCACAGCTGTAAACTGAGCATACTACCAATTAAAATACGGTTTCCGACGTCAAAACGATCGGGTACATACATGCTACCTGTAGGGTTCCAATATTGCACGAATACTGACATAAGCCATAGTCCGGTGCAGCTCATCAAACAGAAGCTTAACGATGGGAAATGCGGTGCAGAGCCGATAAGCCGCAAATCTACATGATAAAAATCCTCATCGTAAGGAGATTAAACCTTAATGCTGCAGGACCACCAGGCACTTGAGGATCCCTTGATATTAAGTAGCGAGGAACTCGAGGTATTTGATCAATTCAAGTACCTTAGTAGCCGTATAAGCAACGATGGGTGCATAGGCATTGAAGTCAGTTGACGCATTGCAAAAGCCAGAACTGTCTTCTTGAATCTGCGACATCTTCGACGACAAAAAGGGGTTTTCTTGCGTCTAGAAGACCGTAGTTACAAGGCCATAGTTAGGGCTGTACTACTCTATGGACGCAAGACTTGGCCACTTCGGTCTGAGGCACCTTCAAGTCTGCTGTCTGCAGTACAGTGTTGATGTCGGGTGGCACCAGCGTGTTCGCAACGATGATGTGCGTAGGCCAGTACTAGGCAATGATAATCAACCTAGTTTCATGGAACAACAGGTAACACTAATTTGCGTTGCCTTAGACGCGTACTACGTATGCGCGGTAACGGATTACCGAGCAGCGCCATGTTTAGTCTGCTGGATGTAGGGTAGCGCAAGGTTTGAAGTGAACAAAAGTTGACTTGGTAGTGGGAAATGAAGTGACTGACGAGGAAACTCAGTGCCGTCGGTCCGTCTCGTCTTCCACACTAGAGGCCATCTGATTCGTCTTGTGCTTGGTTCGAGACGTTCCAAGACCTGACTCGCAGTCACTAGTGGCGTGTCTGTTGGCGTCTCTAAATCGGATCGCCTATTTAAAGTGTGTTTTGTGTTGAGTTATTTGCGGGATTATGGCTGATTATAACGCGAGGCAATGAAAGTCGCAAGGAAGTGTCTCGCTGACGCCGCTTTATGTTCACAAAATAGTCAGCTGTTATGTTGTTGACAAGGCGTAGGCGCCATGACCCCAAGTGTTTGTTTGGGGAATTAAGGTTTTACCGTAGGATGCCCTTCCCTCCTTCTTACTGTTTAACGTTCCGCAGGTAAACGTGATTGCATGGCAGCGAAACATCAGTTCAAGTGGTTGATGTACTGCTGTTGATGATGATATGTGATGTTGTAGGAGCCATGGAGGATGAGTTTAGAGGCTCCATCGGAAACTGAGGTACGAAACGCGACCACAGCGCTCATTCGTTTTCGCGCTTCTGGCCCGGATTCCCTTCCACCTGTACTATTTAGGGGTGGAAGTGAGGTCCACTGCAAAGCACTGACCTCCCTGTTCTATAAGGTCTAAAAGTAAAAGAGTAACCGGGACAATTTGAGTGAATCGATTACAGTAACAATATACAAGAAAGACAGCCGCACCAACTGTGCTAACCACAGGGGTATAGGCCTAAAACCGGGGGTGACAAAATACAAGGCCTCAAATCTCGTTAGTCGCTTCACTGCGGAGCGAGGATCACAGATTAGGGAAAAGCAGGCAGGTTTCCGTCCAGGATGTGCCTGTATAAACTAGATTTTCACTCTGCGTAGCGTTCAATGTTTGCATTCTTATTCAGATCGGATAGCAAGCACGCCTGACCTGCACTCTTGAGACGCTCTCGGTTGACATTTGTTTCATCTCAGAAACTAGACTGCAAGACTCCACTACCGTCATCAGAATGGGTTCTCCTGCAAACCCTGATATCAAATACCGTTTGCGCCAATCCGCTTGCTCAGAGTTTGCCGCTTTGTGCCAGGCAAATGTTGGGGTTGCTCTGAGTGACAAGGTTGAATCCGTTCTGCTTGACTGGATCACAGTCAACAGTCGGCTATGTGCAGACAGACTACGAAGTTCTTGTATATTAATTAAGCGTCCAGATGTTACAAGTGTTTTATTTGTCGTCTCCACCTACGTCCCTACAAAATGCAGCCCGGATGCAGTCAATGATTGCTTCTACTAACTACTACATGACTTTCTGCGTTCGGCTAAAATGTCTGGCATTTTTATTCGTGCCGGAGTTTTAAACGAGTGCCGCCAAGCGGGGACCTTGACTGGGAGAAGACGGTTCTAGAGCAGGGAGAGACAAGCGGAGGTAGTGAATTTATCAAAGCATGGTCCTCTACGGAGAACACGATAAATCTGTGAATTAACTTAGACCCGATCTACCATCGACTGCAAAAAAAATGAACAAGGCGGGTCATTCACCACATGAGTCTAAAAGTGGTGGCGATCGAACTGTAAACTAGCAATGGTCAAGTGACATTAATCGAAATGGTCAGGTTCAAACATCACTCGCATCGGTCAATTTTTGCTTAGTACGCACTGATGAATTCACCTCGATTGGTGATGAAACGTCTGCAACGAAATAGTCCGGCTCGGAGAACAAACCTAAACATGAACAGACAACTCCAGCCACGGGTATTCCGTTTTATTGCTAATTTGGAGATAGTTTTGGTTTCAGTAGCAGTCGATCGGACGAAGACAGACTACTGACTCTTTGTGCTGATCATCGCCTGTTTCTTTCGAGCACCAGTTTTCTATATTCAAAGACAGTGCTACCTAGCGCCCGCCTTCTCAAACGCAAGTGGCCCCAGCTTGACCACAAAGTGATAAGCTACAGATGGCGTGAAGTAAATCAGACTGCCGTTCGTATTGGTCAACTTGTCTGGACTCCGATCACGCAGTGATTCGCGCTGTTATGCATGCGTTTTAGAGAATCGCCTAGACGTACGCACTACCGCCCGAGCGTAGAAAACCTACAAGATTCTACGTCGTTAGCCAAGTACCAGGCCTCCCTGTCAACAGTGCATACCCCAGCTTCTGATGATGACCTGAATTCACAGTGGATGCACACCAAAAATACTTTAGTTGCTGCCAACATTGATAGTTGCGGAGTCACGCATCACCCGCCGAAAAGCTGGATCACTAAAGTCCCCTTGTCGCTGATGGACAGACGCTGCTGAATGCCCGCCGATTCTAGCCGTAGTGAAGGACAATCCCCAGATCGAGAAATGCGAAGGAGTCTACAAAAGGACCATAAAACCTGGTGGTGTGAACGTGCTAGAGAGATGGAACTCGCTAGCCTTTCTGGTAATATCAGAAAACTTTTCCATCTTATCCGAACCACTAAAGGTTTCCGATCTGGTGTAAGCGAAACGATGTGCACTGAACTTCAACGACCGTTGGAACAGTGTGCTCAACATTTTGGCTCGTAGTTTTGCCAGCCATCAGCTTCAATTGCTTCCCCTGGAGCGTCCCCACAGATTCTCTAACCAGGAAATCTAGCAGGAACTCCACTTCCCGCAGCACTACAAAGCACCGAGCCCTGATGGCTTACCTCCCGCTCTATTCAGAAATGGTGGACATTCGCTGGTTCGAGAACTCCCGGCTTTGTGCACAAAAGTTTGGCTGAAAGATGTTCCATCAATTTCGGGCGAGTCGATAGTCGTCCCATCTTCAACAAGGGCACACAATGTGCTCCAACTACAGGAATATCGGTCCATCGCAATGAGGCTGGACCTTACCGTGGTGCGATGGTTTGCGTGCCTCAGAGATCCATTGAGCTATGCTGGGTGGTGCTTTTTTTTGCACCTTTAGAGCCACTCATACCAGATTGGTCAATGGTTAGAGGCCAGACAAACTCAGCCTCCTGGTCCTCCAGGTTGGGGGTTGGAATGGGGGTGGCTCCTCATTTCATAAAACGGGCTCTGTAGTCCAGTGCCAAAACCCGCTGCCTTGCGGTAAGGTTTTTGAACCAAAGGCTTTGGTTGAGAACCCTAATCGTTCTCCTGTCTAGGCCTGGGCAACCTGACAGTATTCTGCCCACGCAATACAATGAACCTTTCCTACAACAATTTCTTGATGCTCTGGCCGTCGCAGAGGATAATAAACGGCGCCCTATCTGCTGCATCGAGCAGGGTGGATAGGGGTTTGGATGCTACTGCTCAGGCCTTCCCGTCTTCTTATACCCCTTCTTGCGCTTCTGCATCCTTATTGTCCCGCTCCAACTTTACTTATATCCCCCCCATTTTCAATCCCCCAATTCTTGGCCCTCCCCCAGCTTACTTCAATAGTCGCTTGTCTTCTAATTTCAAATCACACACAATCGCAGGGCCTCGCTCCAATCCAGTCGATAAGTCCATGTTCAAGCAAGCGGACAACGTCAGTTCATCCGTTTCCCTTTGGAGTCCTCGTGTCTCGCTAAGATTGGCATGCCTCAACGTGCGCACTTTGCTGCAGATTGGCCAACAGGCAGCACTTGCCCGCACACTAGAGACCCTATCGATCGATATTTGCTGTTTATCAGAAACCCGCCTGCAAGATTCGAGCTCCGTGCTTACCCTGAGATCCCCCACATGCGACACTGGCGGCACATTCTCATTGCGCCTATCTGGCGATGATGCAGCTTCAAATGCCGGTCAAGCCGGCGTCGGCATTGTTTTGAGTCCCCGGGCTGAAGCTGCCCTGCTTGATTGGATCCCAGTAAACAGTAGGATGTGCGCCGTTAGATTAGCTGGCTCGTTCCGTGCTTCGAAGTCGCGCGGGGACAAACGGTGCCTGTTTGTCATTGCGGCCTACGCCCCTACAAACTGTAGCACTGATTCGGTAAAAGA